CCCCAAAACCCCAAAACCCCATTATCATAAAATAGAATTCAAATCTGTTAATAATAAATACAATAAATTATTATAATGGAAGGAAAATTGTAATCTGATAAAAAAGTAGATGATGATTCAGAATAATTTAACAATTCTATAGAAAATAACACCTTAGATTTCAACTCAAGTACTTCTAGTCTTAATTTAAGACCAATTATATCTCAAACTAAAAATATCAAATATATTAAAAAGGAATAAAAAAGAATTCTAAAAATTGAATAAAATGATTCTCTAAGCCCTCAATCATCTTGATTGAAAGATTTAAACGAAGACGATTTTAATAAATAAGAAACAGTAATTAAGGCTTTCAGTAATAATGAATAAACAGAGTGGCCTGAGTTTGAAAGAAGTAAAATTAATTCAAGAGAAATATAATTATCAATGGATGTTAAAAATCTTATGGATAAAAATAAGGCATAGAATGAATAAAGTAAGAGTGATACAAGGATTGAATTAGACCCTTTCGATGAGGAAGACACACTTATTTAAGATAGTTTTGTCATTTTTAATAAGTTTAGATTCATGAAATTTCTGATTTACCATATTCTATACTATTTTTGTTTGGGGCCATTTTCTCCATTAATACTTAACTTGTTTGAGAACAAAACATTCCTTACTAACTTGGGATTTAGGGGATTAAATTGATATTCATTTTAATAAATAGCTATATGGATTTGCACTCAAGTTTCAGCTTGCTTATATTTTATTTAAAGTAATGAAGTGTAGCTTAATTAGACTTATACTTTCACATTAATTTCTTCGCTCTATCTTAGATGCTTTTTATTGGCTATAAAATATGCTACGACTAGTGACTATTTAATAGATTAAATGAGCTTGAGATTTTTTACTTCGGATGATAGTAAAACTGAAGAATTATCATCAGGCTGGAAAGATATTCACCCTACTTAATTGGATGATGAAATAAAAAATAGTATGATTAGAAATGAAGTAGAAAATTGCTTTTTTTAATTCAAATTTCTCTTCAAACTAAACTATCTATATAAAGTAAGATTAACTAATTATGATTACTTCAAATAAAATGAATATGACTTTGAGCAAGAAAAAATATGGACTTAATAATATGTTGAGTTTCTTAGATAAGGAATTAAGAAATATACATCAAGATAAAAACTATAAAGACAGAATGTTAAAATAATAAACGAAAAAAATAAAATTTTAGATCCAGCCTACTTTGAGATTCCTAATAAAAATGATTTGTTAGCTTGCTATTCAGGATGATTATGTGTAAGAGAGTATTTTCTCTGCTCCAAAGTAATGGGAAATATGCTTCCGAATTTCATCCTACTATTTATAACTGCTGTGCATACATTTATTCCATTCACAGTTGTATTGATTTAAGATTTAACTAAGAATGATTATCATAATCTTAAGGTAAAATACTCTGGAATAGAATTTTGATTCCATATATTGTGTATGTGGTATCTTAATCTACAAACTTGCTATTAAAATGCTTACTTTTTGAGAATGGGTACAATAGATATGAAGAGAAAGTTATTTCAAATGAGAATATGTGAGGCAAGTCTAGAATCTAATAGATCTAAAATAAGTGATGAACTTCAAATATTCCCTATGATGAATTATTTCGACCCAAAGACTATTTTATCATGGATGGATATGAGATAGATATTTTTAGACCTAGGTTAGAGATTTCAGATAAGAATTCAACTTTATATTAGCATTTATTTAGTGACATATGGGATAATAGGAGGATTTTTGCTATTGTGGTATTTTGAAATTTTTATGATAGATTTACATTTATCATTAGTTATAATGATGAGCTACGATTCAATTGCTTTTATATTTGCACTTGATTTTATATTTAAATTTGGAGCTCAAATTAATGAGATTTCAAATAACTAGCTATTGAGAATAATAGAATTAAGAAATGTTATTTAGCGTGTCAAACTAGATTGGAATTTAATAATCCATGAATCCTAAAATAACTAGCAAAAAAATAAATTTTTGAATAATGCATTCAGAAATGCACAAATGTACTTCAAATTGATAATAAAGGAGGAAGGAGAATAAAAAGCGCTTGAGTAGATTAATGAATGTATAATAGTACTTGATATGATATAGATCAGGCTTGATAAAGAAATTTAATTAAATCCTATTAAGATACTTGGTATTCCCTTAACTAGTAACATCATCCATGCTATTTAGACATCAGTTGTGTCTTTAGCAGCTGCTATGATAAATAAGAAATTTTAGATTCTTAATTGACTTTTTGTAATTGACTGAAACTTTGAAATAATAATAAAGCATTAAGATTATTATTATATTTTTATCACTGATAAGATAATCAATATTTTTCTATAAGGGGTTTTGGGGTTTTGGGGTTTTGGGG